ACTCTCACATTCACACACTGGTGGAGGCAAGCTACGGTTGTAGCCACAGCTGCCCTGGGGCAGACTGACAGAAGCGAGGCTGCCATATCGTGCCATCGGCCCCTCTGGCCAACACCAGTAAGCGGTAGGTGAAGTGTCTTGCCCAAGGACACAACGACCAGGACAGAGAGGCCGGGGATCGGCAACCTTCTGGTTACAGATGTGCTTCCCAACCCCCTGAGCCACGGTCGCCCTTATATTAAAACAATAAGGTGCTACTGAATGTCACAGACATTCAGCTAGCCAGAAAGCCACCAAAGGTCAGTCATCCCTGTTGCGCATGCACCTTTTCCTACCACACCCTTTCTGCCAGTCAACTTTACAATAATATGCCTGGATACTGTAATTTACTCAATTTTTCTAACACATTGAGACTTTTTTCTAATCTATAAGCCAAAAAGGTACATCAAAAAGAAAAACATTAACATAGAAATGAAATATTAGTTTTTTGGGTTTTAGAATTAAACCTAAAATCTTCATTTACACATCATTTACTCTACACATTTGTTTTTAGGTAACTACATATTCTGCTGCTGAAACAAAGTAAGATTATGGCAGCATCAGCATATGGAACTGGTAAGTGTGCAAAAAAATGTACAAACTTCGCTTTATTAAATAAATGCATATGGCAATATGCAGTAGAAATTTATGATACTCGAGTTTGGCATCTAAGAATTTTAGTAACGCATACGATTTTGAATATTTGTCAGATAGTGATGTACTGGGAATATGAAAAGTGTAATTCAGTGAAAAATTTGTAATAACTCAAAGACATAAAAAATATAAAAGAAAAGAAAACTGAATCAATGCAATATTTAATTATTTAATGTCTTTTGTGTCTTCAACAGCATCTGAACTCAGGATTGTGATATTTGGAAAAAGTCAATTTGAAAAGATAACTTTAAGCAACTTGATCACAGGGAAAAAGGATTCTCGTGATATAACAATATCCAAGAAATCTATTGCCCAAGGACAGTGGAGGAAAATACCCATAACCGTAGTGAAAACCTCCGACATCTTCAGTGTTCCTGTGGAAAAAGTCAGACACGAGATGAAGATGTGTGTGGCCCGTGTCCCCCCTGGGCCAAATGTTTTCCTCCTGTTAGTGAAGCCTTCAGATTTCACAGAGGAAAACAGACAAAGGCTGAAGTTCATCTTGAGTTTGTTTGGTCCACATGCGCTTAAATACTCAATGGTCATCATAACACAAAAAGATGAAGAAAAGAATACTGCAGTAGAACAAATTATTCAAGAGTGCGGACAAAGACTGCATAAGTTAAACTCTGACAAAAAAGAGTGTCTTGACTTTGATCAGGAAACCATGATGGAAATGATGAATCAAATTGTGACTGAAAACAGGGGCGGACATCTAAATTTTTCTGAAAACCCTGATCCAACTGAAGCACTTGAAAGTCCAAAATCAAGGCTTCCACTTAATTCGGCACTGTGTGAGAGATCTGTTGTTGGGATGGAACCTGAGCATCCAAAACCAAAATCTCTTGTGAATTTAGGACTAAGTAAGAGACCTCAAGTTGGTGTTGAACAACCTCAAAGGCCACATCTAAAACCTCCTTTAAACTCAGTACCATGTGGGAGCTTTGTTGTTGAAGAACCTGAGCATCCAAAACCAAAACTTCCTTTGAATTTAGGAATGACTGAGAGACCTCGAGCTGGTATGGAAGAACCAGAATCTCCAAATATGAAACCTCTTTTGAATTTGAAACTGTGTGAGAAATCTCAAGTTGATATAGAAGAACCAGAGTCTTCAAATACAAAACCTCTTTCAAATTTGAAACTGTGTGAAAGACCTCAAGTTGGTGTGAAAGAGCCTCAAAGTTTATATGTAAAACCTTCTTTAAACTTGGTACTGTGTGGGAGATTTGGAGTTGGAAAAACTTCAACTGCTAATGCCATCCTGGGAGAAAGAAAGTTGAATTCATTAGAGTATGTTAAACATCAGGCAGAAGTTTATGGTCGACTGATTTCAATGGTGGAGCTACCGGTTCTATTTGGAAAATCTCAGGAAGAAGCGATGAGGGAAGCCTTCAAGAGCATTTCTCTCTGTGATCCTGAGGGTGTCCATGCTTTTATCCTGGTGCTACCTTTGGATCCCCTTACCGATGAAGACAAGGGTGAGTTGGAGACCATCAAAAATATACTAAGCTCTCAAGTCAAAGACTTTACAATAATTCTTTTTACTGTGGAGACCAATCCTACACACCCAGATGTTGTTAACTTTTTAAAAAGAAACAAAGAGATCGAAGAGCTCTGTCGGAGTTTTAGTGTCCGATATCTTGTCCTCAATGTCAACAACAGACAGCAGATCCCCCAGCTACTGGATGCTGTGGAAGAGATAAAAATGGTTTCCAAAAGTTTCAAAAAGGAAACCATTGCAAAACCTTGTATGCACAACAGTGCAGAATGTACATCACAACTGGAAGAGGCTCCTCACACATCACAGAGCCTGGATCAACTCAGGATTGTGATGATTGGGAAAACTGGAAGTGGAAAGAGTGCCACTGCAAACACTATTTTGGGCAAAAAGTGCTTTCATTCGAAGGCCAGTATGAAATCAGTGACCAGGCTCTGCCAAAAACAAACAGCGGAAATTGAAGGGCATCCTGTCATCGTGGTTGACACGCCTGGTTTATTTGACACAGCTCTATCCAGTGATGAAGTTAAACAGGAACTTGTCAAATGCATCACAATGGTGGCTCCTGGACCTCATGTGTTCTTACTCGTCCTGCCGATCGGTCACTTTACAGAGGAAGAAAAACAAACTGTGGAGCTCATTAAAAACATTTTTGGCAAGAATTGCAATGACTTCATCATTGTCATATTTACCAGAGGAGATGATCTTAAAAACCAAACAATTGAAAGTTACCTCAACGAAAACAGTGAAGACTTTGTCAAAAAACTGTTAACTGATTGTGGAGGACAATACCATGTCTTAAATAACAATGATCACAGCCGTTTTCAAGTACGTGAGCTGCTGACCAAGATCGAGTCAAGAGTAAGGAAAAATGGCGGTGGCTATTACACCTCAGAGATGTTCAAAGAGGCAGAGGCAACAATTCAGAAGGAAATGGATAAGATTATGAAGAAGGAAGAAGAAATGCAGAGATATAAGAGAGACCTTCAAAGACAACATGAAGAGGAAATCAAAGAGATGAGGCAAAAAACTGAACAGGTAAGAGCTTTAACAGAAAAAGCATTAGAAGAAAAAAAGGAATTCATTAAGAGAGAGGAGGAGAAAAAAAGGGTGGATGAGGAAAGGGCCCAAAAGGAAAGGGAAAGGAAACAGAGGTATGAAATTCAGCAAAAGCAATGGAAAGAAAAAGAGAAGGAAATTAAGTCTGGATCATTAAAAAAGACAATTAAGGGTCAAATATGGGTACAGAGTTCAAAAGAAAATGAAAAAGCAAGAGAGGCTTGGAGGAAAGTACAACAACAGTGGCAGGAAACACACTTTAGAGGATGCCAACAGAGATCGGAGGAGCAAACACAATCTAAAAAACTCTGTGAAGAATATGAGCAGGAAAAAACAGAACATGACCTCCAAAAAAAAGAACAAGATCAACTTCGAGAAGAACAAGAGAAAAAAGAATGGAGAGAACTGCAACAAAACCTACAAAAGCAAGTCGAGGAAATGAGGGGAAAAAATCAAGAGGAAGCCAGAAAGCAAGCAGAGGAGTTCAATGATCTTAGACAGAGATACGCCACTGACTTAAAAGCTGCAGTAGCAGAGTGTGAAAGGGAAATTGAGAATATGAAGCTAAACCAACAGGAATACAGTAGCTACATGATTCAACAACTGTGCCAGAACAAGGCGTATCAGAATGACTTTGACCAACTAAAGAAGAGACAAGAAAAAGAAATGAATGAGCTCCAGCCATTTATTCAAGACCAAAAACAAATGTACGAGCTACAGAAAACACATGAGGAAGAAAGAAGCAAGTGGATCCGGGAACATGTGCGTAAATCCAAAGAAGAAGAAAGTTGTAGTATTTTATGAAATGTTTTCATATATTTACTTTGGTGTTGCCCCATAACTTATCAATGTAATACCAATATTTTGGCCAATTAAGATACCAAACATTGGGAGCTGTTTTTGTGAGATTAAAACCATTTATCCTTTACATGTCGTTTTTATGTCCAACCACTGACGTTCTAGTTTGTTCCTCATTCACTTGGTCATGGGGTTTTAAAATGACTGTCCAAAATAAATGCCTGATGCCATTACCGACAGACTACCAAGTGATAAGACTTGACTATAGTAGGACCTTCTTACTGTTATCACTACAAAATTTTACGTAATAGGTCTCTTAGACTGCCACTTGGATGAGTGACAGTTTTCTCCCAAGAAAAAAGAATTAATGCTCTAGTTATCTGTGTGATTTTTCTAGCTAACAGCGACTGGTGGTTGAGAAGATATTTTTATCTCTTCCTTTAGTAAAAGTACTGATATCTCAATCTGAAAAGACTCCATTATAGATTATTATAATTCCTGTTTTTAAAACTTGACAACTGTGTGAACATTAACAGCATATTTTACAGAATATATGAAAAATACAACTACTTATTGTACAAGAAAACCTCTATCTATCATTGTCGAGGTAGTTGCATATAAGGCAATGAGTATGCTCTATAAAATTTATAACGTGCCTTTCCTGTGAGGCTATAGCATTTCATGAGCTAAAAAACTACCCCTCCAACATAAGTAAGAAATCTGTTTTAAAAAAGGAAAGGAAAACTCAAAGTGGTGTGTTTAGCAAAGCTTGTTTACTTCAACAAATAAGGTCAACAAAGTGTTTCTTGAAGTGTTAATTTTTTTTAAAAAAAAGGTTGGTGGAGGCTGCATATGTTGAACTTGCTTGTTTTATCAAACCTAGCATGAAATTAGCTTATTGTTCCTTCACCATATGTGAACATTTCCTTGCTAGCATGCTAAAGAAGTTGCTATTTCACATTACTCCACTGCACAAGTGAAAGCGTTGCACAAACTGTTTCCAAGACATTACTTACCTTATGAGATGATAAATTGGAGTGTAATTTACTTTATGCATTGTTAATGCTACTTCTTACATGTTTAGTTTGCACACACTGCTAGAGCCCACTGCCAGGCAATTAAACAATCAGGCGTGTTCATAGCCAAATCAAATTTTACATGGAACCAGTCAGAACAACTTGCCTTTGTTTTAAGTGACCCAATGTAAACAAACCACTGTAGAAGTAACATTGTGAATTGTTTGTGTGCAAGTATACAGTGTGGATAATAAACACATAAAATGTGAGAAAAGAAGACCTTCTCCTACCTGTACTGTACAACCATCATGTTCTGCTCCCCACAGTGTCTCGCACAGCGAATATACCTCATCCAGCTGGATTTACTGGGATCATTACCATCAATAAAGTGCTGTAACGTTCCCTCTGCATCGTAGATCTGGAAAACACAAATGATCAGAGTTGAAAACAGAGGGCTTGTTGTGATTAATTCAGGATAGTATTGATATAGCTGAAAAAGGCAACCTTCAGATTTAGATATCTATTGAATTATTTTACTTTGAGCGACTAACAAGTCAAAGATATTTGCTCATTTTCTAAACTGACAATGAAACAAACCTCACTTAAGAATGGCAGGAAAAAGGCAAAGAAATACAATGTTTGTAACATATTATAATGTCATAGCTCAGTGGTCCGTATCTGTATCTTTACCATTACAATCTATTTGTATCTATTTGAGTTTTACTATGGTGTAGTAGCAAAACTAAAATCAAAAGAAAAATATAATAAATTATATTAGTTATAGTTTTAGTCAACAGACAACACAGCAGTGAATTTGGGATGTTTATATTGACTGAGTGTTGTACCGTTACAAGATATTGTGGTTATTTGGTAATTTTTTCTGAGGTTCTGTTCAACATTTCCACCAAAAAATAACTAGTTCAGTTCATTTAAAACACTATAGTTCAGCTGAGACTATCAATATTTTTAACTAACAACTGAAATTTCTGAATTCACTCTGGAAACCAATGCAAACTTAGACTGTACTGGATGTAAACTTAAAGGCAAAAGTTAAAAAATTACTTAGGAAATACAAAACTAAAATTCAGACAGGAAGACAATGTTTCTCTTGCTCTGCCAAGCTCCAAAAGAATTGCAAAGTAGCCGATATAAAAGATTGATGATGTAAAACAATCTGCAGCCACAAGGTGAATAAAAAGTCTTGCAAAAAAGACTAAGAAAAGTCAGGATCTACACAAATCTCTGCTCTAATTTGCCATGAAGTCTCAAAGATTTAAAATTGACTTTTTTAGGAGATTTCATCAAATGTTTAGGGTTGCATTTGTCATGATGCTGGCAGTTGCAGATTAATTTTTGAAGCTAAAAATATATGACTTTTTGCTAAATAAGATTTGGTTCCACTATAGTTATACCCAGAGTTTAGGTTAAATGAGTACTTGTAAAACTACAAGAGGTATAAGGATATTTATGGTAAATCAAAGCCACTGCACTGAAGCACCGCAGCAATTTCCTAATGTTGTAAACCTGCTCAACATCTGGCAATAAACCCTTTCTGATTCTGATTCTGAACATTTTAATTTTTGGAGATTTAAAGTGTGATGATGTATCAGCCTCTTTTATTAAGAATGAACCCTTGCAACTGAAAACGATAACGAGTTGTGCACTTGTAGCTCAGACAAATAACTTAATTTGATTTGAAATGTTTTAAACAAGATTCTGCAACTACTCATTAGGCTCTTATCCACAGTCAGCTGGAGCTGTGATGATTACAGCCTGCTGGGCGTTAAACATTACACAGACCTGATTTACACCTGCTTAAAAGCCTTACAGCTCTGTCTGCCAGCTTTAACATCGAGGCCTAAAAATACTTTTTCACAGCAACAGTGGAAGGCTGCACATCAAATAAGAAAAATGGAGCTGAAACGTAAACCAAACAAGGGTCCATTAAGAGGAAGAAGCAGCTTGCTTTTTTTCCTGTTGCTACTGGCTCAAAGATGAGATCTCTCAGTCTGTTCCCCTAAAGAAAACCACAAGTCCTACTTTTAAACGGAAAACGTTAAAATGAAATGTTTGAACTGGTGGGAAATTTGCCGATCACATTCCCCAAAGATTTAATGTTTCTTGTATTTATAATGACCCAGTGACCTCTAGTGCCACCCTCAGGCTCAATGATTTCATTCTCTATTCAAGCTTTCAGTTCCTTCAACAACAGATCTTTTTGTTGCATGGAGAGTCTGAAGTTATCATTTTACATTGATTTGAGAATGTGTAACTTAAAGGATCACTAGTATTACTGGACCGATGTAAATGGTATATGAGAAGATGACATCTAGATATCTGCTGCAAAGGCAACAGGGATGAGACAATTAAAAATGAGTAAATAAATCAACAGAAATCTGAAGAGTGCACAGCTAATAGTGATCATAAGCACTTAAAAACAGTCGATCTCCCTTAGCCTCCGTCTGTGTGTGTGTTCATTATTAATCCATCCCTCCGTCCATCCGTGGTAAAGATGCAGTGTGACTGTATTGAGGCAGCGTTGAGTGTGTTTATAAGGTGATGACCTGAGCCAATAGCCTGCCTCTCTGCTGTCCATACAGCCAACAAACAATCAATGCAGTAAATGACTGTGAGAATCAGAGGAAACAGCTTCATTTATTATTCTCTGTATGTAAGCACTTTACTGTCTGTCGCTGTTGGACTGCCTGCACACTCTCCTGCCTTTATCCGAGTCTTTGTCCATTTCACATAAACTACTTTATATGATTAAGTGTACATTTTTTTCTAGGTTGTTTATCTTGTGGCCTGAAACTCTTTCCACGTTTTCTCTGTTTTACATAATTAAGACACAAAAACTTCCAAATTAGCTTTTTTGTGCACAAAGATGTTGAGTTTGCTATGATAAATACTATTTAATTTATGCAGTAAACCTTCACATGAGAAGCTGGTGAAAAAAAACAAAAAAAACAATATGATTAATGCAGTTACGGACTGTATATAAAGACTGTGAGAGGCATGATGGCTTTGCCCATTTGTTTGAGGGCATTTTATAGCCTCATTCTCATATTTTTTGGGTGGGAGGGGGTGGGTGGGTTCAGGGGGTGGAGGAGGTTACTATAATTAAACAGAAATGGTTAGTTACCAACTTTGGTGAGCTCGGTTAGCACGCTGCATTCATAAACTATGAGTAAAATGCAGAGACATAGACACCTGCTATTTACTGCCAAGTCGCATCCCAAAAATCATTTTTAGTTCATGCACTATAATGTGAAAATGTTTATTTCTGATGGATATTTTTAATATGGGAATCTATAAGAATGAACTCACTTTGGAGTCAGCCTCAAGTGGACATTAGAGGAACTGCAGTTTCTGGCACATTTGTTTTTCTTTTTTTCCCCCTTTTAATTTTTTTTTTTAATTCCAGGAGGTAGCCACTCAGTAAAGTTTGTTTTGTTTTGTTTTAAATAAATGAGGGCTCATAATTATTGTCTACACCAACAATTCTCCTGGAGATGACTGATGAGGTGCTTTATTTATTATTATGCAGCATCATGGAGATTAGAAGCCTTATATATTTCACATTAAAAATCAGTCACTTTCAAATATCACTGTTCTGTTCTACTCAGAAGTTTACTTGTTCATTTTTTTAACATTTAGATTTTCCAAAATAGTTTTTAAAAATTTAGCCTGCTGGCTTTACATTCACCGTGTACAGTAGTGAATGAGTGTCATTAAAAAAGTATTTTTTCATGATATTTTGGTTTTTTGTGGGGTTTTTAAGCTTGTTTCAGATAATGACAAACAACAATGACGTATCCAGCACATTTGTTTTTCCTAAAGCTTTAAAAATGCACAAACCAAAATATACAGGAAAGTAGTTCAGAAAATATATTAAAACTTGTTTCGGTATTAGTCCTCTGCATGCTATGATCCAATGGTGTTGTGCACTGTAGGATTAACAGCACTCTAGTCTGACTCTTGGTAAAACTGACCGATTAGCTGAATTCTATTTCTTGTTTTCGTAGACTTTTAATTTTTGTTTTCTTTTTGTAATTTGTGTCCTTGCCTCATTGAAACATTTTGAATTTCCTGAAATGGTTTTAGCATTCAGTCACGTGCTGTGCTCACTTTTCTTTTTAATAGTAAAACATATTTAAAAGTTATTTACGTACATTTAAATTTTACCATTTCTTGTCACGAATCTGTGCTGATTTAAAGTTTTACCCTTTATTATGTCACTTTCTCATTGGCAGAGCCAGCTTTTGCTGAGTTTACATATGACATCTGAAGCTCCAGTGAACTTGGGCCTCTCAGACCAGCAGCTGGTTTCTAGCTCGATGCTGTTCTGTCAAAGACGTTTTGGCCGCCTGTGTTTATCAAATCCATCGCTACAAAATTCCAGTCATAAGATAAACGGCCAAAGAGAAAATGTTGTTTAGCTGAACAGACAGAAAATCTTGCAAACATTGCCAGGCTGCCGGATTGACTTCACGGCTCCAGCTGTCATTTTTCCATCTGAGCACAACAGTCGTCACAAAACGAGACTTTTTTTTCTTCGTAGCTTCAGTCTGTTGAAGCTAAATAAATTCTCCTTGTTTGACCCTCAGTTTGTTCGGGACAGATGACCCTTACAGCAGCACACTGGTTTATTTTCTCACACTCAGACCACACATAATACATACTACAAGTGCTGCTTCTGCAGAAAGCGCAGTGTCTTCGGAGCTTTATTCAAAGAAACTGCAATGACTAACACGCCATTTCATCTTTGTTTAATCTATTGAATAATTCTATGTAGTTTATGAAACAGTAGAAAAAGTTCACACCACATCATATCCACACTTGTCTTGTTTTTCCCGACACAGCAAAGCTTCCCATTTTACTCCCATGTATAAATCTGCAGTTTGACAGCTTTTCATCACAATTATAACATTTTAAGATTTTATCTTTCAATTCTGGTAAAAATCCTGACAATATTGAGAAAGCCATGCATAACACACTTTCATGTGGTAAAGCACTATGCTCTGACAATACACTTAAAGGTACTTATTTAAATTACCCTCTTTCACCACCAAGAAATTACATTTTACATATAGGTATGCAGTATGAAGACATTTCCTCGCTTTAAGGTTTTAGATTAATAATGTAACAACATACATCTAATGCAGCTTCATCTGATATCTCTTCAACACAACACATTTGACATTTATCAGTAAGTGGTTGTTTTGTTAATACCTTTAGTTAATGTTGCACAGAGTGCTGCAGAGGTATAAAATCCACTTTCAGACATTTCTACTACTATTTCACAATTTTGTTTAGAGAAGGATTGTTCAGATCTGCTCCTTACTTTGAGTATTGGATGTTTTCTGTCCTTATTATTGTGGAAAGTGTGGCAAGTTACATAAAGTCAAGCAAAACTGA